ACCAAATTGGAGATTTAACCTTACTAATTTGGATAAACTAAATAAATCGTGAGATGGGCCTGAGCCTAATTTCCATATTGGTGGCTCGTGAGGCCTTCTGCGTTCCACTATTTAAGAAGAAACAAGAAAGGGAAAGAAAAATGGGTTTTCCAAATTGCTCCGTAATTTTTTCTACCTAGATTAAATAGAGTTTGGACTCAATTTGCCTCGTCCTTACTTGATTGACACTGAATAAAATACTGTCCTTTAACTTTTTCATTCTTTCAAAAATATAAGTGTCATTATTTTTTTATGAGATAGTTCAATTGATTAAAATTTCGTAAGGAAAGAGAATAAAAATTTAAACATTATTTATATAAGTAAAAAAGCACTTTTACATCAATAATTTAACTATTTATTTTACTAGTCTTTTTCACATAAAGATATTAATTATTTATTAATTAAAATATCAATTAATATAAAATATTATTAAAATAAAATATTAATTAAAATTACTAAGAATATAAAATGTTAATTAAAATTAATAACTTATAATAAACTTAAATTTTTAAATAATATGTTGTTGGAAAAAGTGTTGCGAATTGCACTTCTAAACGAAAGCCTTAGTCCTGTCCTATATACCTAAGAGAACAAAGCATTATACGAAGATCCATTCAAGTTACACCAGAATATGAAGGCGAAATCGCAGCCTACATGAAGCAAGAAGCTATGCAAACATCCACTGGCAAATCATGAAGCAGAAAAGACCATATTATGTTACATGCCAACATTCCCTTACCATCCCTTGGCATAAAAACATTCAGTGGCAACAAGAAGCATTCTGTGAGTCACTAAAACGACTAATGATAATGAAAAGATATTTATTGAAAAGAATCGTTTCTGTGTGTACATAACAAAACAGTTTGTTACAGTTCTTTGAGTAATAAAACAACAAAATTGGTGATTATAAAGAATAGCATTTCCACCATAAAATTAGTGATAACACCATTGAGGTTCATTCTGAAAGTTAGATAAATATCGGAACAAAAAAAACTGGCAAGAATACAGTAGTCAATCACTGTGAAGAATCTGAAACTCGTTATCCTGTGTCACCAATTTCGTAATTTTGCACTACTCCTGGAACTTTGAAATGGGACATCTTAATCTTAAGTTCAACTCAACATATATATATATATATTGTTTAAATTTGTTATGGGCATAATCTTCTATTATTTAAAATGAGATTTTTATTGCAATTCTTTGATTACTAAGGGATCTAGTGAATTTTGATAAATAAAAAATAATAATAAAGTTGGACTAAATGGGTAGAACTCAGAAAATTACATTACTTCAACTAGTCATAGGACCCTGGATATTTCATTATTCAATCCTTCAAACCCTATCCCTACCACATTTAGAAAAGAACATGCCTACCCGTTTCAGCCATTTTCTTTTACAGCTTAAGTGGCTTGAGGAAAATGGAAAGGGAGGGGAGGAAAGAGAAAAGAAAATAATTATAACCAATCAAATTATTATATCGTTACTATAAAAACTTAATTTGTTTGATTAAAATAAGGTTATTTCTTCTTTCCTTCCCTCCCTTCCTTCTATTTTTCTCAAACCAAGTAGCTTATTACAATGTAGAAAAACATTGATTTTAGAAGCCTGCTCCTTCAACATGCTATCTAACTCGTTCAAAAGTTCTGGTTAAGAAAGAGAAGAAGTGTGGAGGAAAAGCCAATAAATCTAGGAATGTGGTAGACTTGGTGCTTTTTTTTAATAATATTCTAGGGTCCTTATGCCCTTGACGAGAAACTAATTTTCAAAGCACCTCTGGGTTTTCTCTTCGAGGGGAGTGCTTGGTTGGGAGAAATTTTTTCTTTTAAAGTTTTTTAAATTTTTTTATGTATAAGATTATATATTTATGTATTTTTATATGTTAATATTATAATGAAATGTGGGTAAAAGTGATATTTTGAATATTTTTTCTTGGCGCAATAGTTCCTAATTTGTAAAGTTTTTTCTCAACTATTTTGAAAAAAAAAAAATATTCCCTATGACTTTTTATATATTGGATCCACTTAACAACTTTTCTATTAACTTTTTTTATATCAATTTTTTTCTAAATATAACAAAGTTAATAATCTAATAAAACTTTATTACAAAACTTAATAATTTTTTATATAATACTTTTTAACCTTTTATACAATTCTTTACTAATTATTTTTTCAGTAAAAGCTTTTTTTTAGTAAAGGACCCTCTAACCAAATTGGTCCTTAAAAATGCAAGAGGGTAGCATTGATTACAAAACTTTGTTGTTTAGTGTTATGAGCTTTGGACTTCAGGAATACGAGGACCTGTGTGAGTGCTGATCACTACCTAGTATTTTGTGCCGCTCACATGTCTTTTCTTGATCATCCAGGCTTTAAGAGGCTATTTGGTTGGCCACTTCTCTGAATAAAGAATTTGGAGAAGTCGAGCTAAACTTGTTGTTAGCTTGATTTATGATATGTAATTTTTTAAGAAAGTGGATATAAGTAACTACAAATTGAGGTAATTGATGAAAAAGGCCGGATTCTTTTCCCTACTCCCTCTCCCCCAAATCAATAATCAATTATTTGTAGTTATAATTGATTATAACCCTTATAATTATTTATATTTTTTTGTGCAATCACTTATAAATTTGCATTGATATTTGTGTCAAAATGTCTAAGATCCTGAACCCAATCATATTTTATTGGTTAACAACTTCTTTAAAAATGCCTTCTAAGATAATCTTAATTAAAAATCTCTAAATGCTACTTAGAGTTGATCTAAATTAACTGCAATTGCTTTCATGTATAGATATAGTTTTTTAAAAATGATTTGGTTTCTTACATAAATTAACTAATGCATAGTTTGATCAAATCAATTATTATAAGAGCATAGTCAAATTTCCTACATTAACACTTCATATTTGGAAAACTCAAATCAAACATGATGAGATGCTAATTTTGATACTTAAACCTTAAACTTTGCAGTGTTTTAGTCCTTATACTAATTTAGTCCTTTCACTAATCACAAAAATCTATATTAAGAGACCAAAAAGTGCTTCTTAAATTAACTTTTTTTTTTTTTTTGGTGTGCTTGTTTTTCTTTGTAAATCAGTTTGCCTTCTCTTTCGAAGGTTTCAATTTGTCTTATGGGGACATTCATATGTTGTCTTGCATCCATGGTTTCATCATCTTAAATCATATCATAATTAATTTTGCAAACAGCCCCCCTTCATAGGAATTTTATCTCATATCTCCATCAAGGGAAGTACACCTGCCCTTGATGAATGCAGTAGGTGGGTAAAGTAAAACAAAAGGAGTTTTTTGCTTGCATGTTCTCTCTTGGGTATGATTATGATTATAGTTAATTTTATTAAGGTTATCAAATTTATTAAATTTTTATTTGAATTTAATTGTTAAAAAATTAATAATTAATAAAATATTTAATATTTA